GAAGATCTGCTCAAGGAACTGTTCTTCTTGAACTCGGAAGTGGATTCGTACTTTCGGGAAGTAGATTATGATGCAGAAGATTCGGAATTGATTGCAGATATCTCTTAGGCTTTCACTCATAGCGCGCTACCACTCGGTTCTTGACTAGATGCTCTAACTCAGGCTCACTCCTAGGCAACGCTCTAGTCTCTCACTTAGAATGAGAGACTGAGCCATAACAGCACGGCAGGCACTAGCAGCAAGAGTCCAGGCATAACAGCAGGAGATCCGAACTCTCACTTCGAACTCGAGAACTCACTCGGGCACTCCCATTGCAGGAGAAGACATGCTCAAAGTCCCATTAGTTTCACTCCTTCGATCTGTCTTTAAACTGAGCACGAGGCCCGGGGTAGCTTGCTTACTCTCTTAGAAACCTTTCCCGTTGCGGAACTGGCTTAATTCGCTGTAGATGCCCTTCTTGAAGCATCAATCCTACTTTTCTTTTCGGGTCTGCCCCTATTTGCATGCCCCATCATCTCTTTGAGGGTATGCGAGGAAGCCCCTTTTTCAACAAGTCTAGGATCTTCTTGTCTTGGTTTTAGCTTCCCTGCTATCTTCATTAACTTCCCTTGTTCTGACTCCTTGGCTTGAGGTCTCCTCATGGTGTCCTTCCCCTTGAAGAACGTCTGGCTCTTCACGATCTGGAATAAGCTCCGTTCCTTGGTGTGTAGCAACGCTAGCGAAGGTCCAAGTGGAAATGACAGAAAATCCACTGACGCTTACTCTTCTATAAGGGAGGCGAGGAAAATCTCAGCCTAGAGCAGTCTTTGTTCCATGTAGTTTCAGGCTCCGGCATGGATTTCGTCTCTTCTTTTGTTGCGGATGATCGAAGCCTAGCCTAGGAGGATGACTGTGTAGAGGGCTAAGAGGACTAAAGCATGGCGTAGGCAGCGGAATACCCGACTAAGAAAACCGCTGTTCAAGCTATCTCACCCGGTACGAGACCAGAGGAAACTGAAACGGCAATTGGTAGCCCAAAGACCAGCCTTAGAATTGGCTTTTTTGGGATTTACTTATTAGATAAGGATCGGCGCTAACTCTGAATCAGAAGAATCAGAGGTGTAACCAGGGAATTTATATTATTGACTTTAATTCCACTTAAGGACCAAGACAAGCGGAGGGAACCCCAGATCCTGCTGAGGCAGAGGAAGAGGAATAGATCTCCGGCGAGCTTCCTCGATAAAGAAAGGAAAGCTGTTAGACCTCTCAGCAGTGATGGCCCCAAGTCAACCAAGAAGGTCATCCCCGTGCCGTTCTTATTTCTAAGAAGGTCTTGGAGCTGCGGTTAGCGCGCTGGTTTGATAGGATGCCTTTTAAGCTGTCCGACTTCACTTCCCGAGATATAGATTGTTTCACGAGCTTGAATGAGCGTGAATTCCTCTCTTATTATATTTCAACGTTGTCTTTCTCGACAGTCTGTCTTTTGGGAGCGGGGTGTAACTGCTGCTAAGGCCTCGCCGTTTGAGAGGACCACGCCTGTCTGTCTCGTGATGGTATGGTCCTCGTCTGTTGAGTTCATGTATGCACGAGAATACGAAACAACACTTAACTTAATGAAAGTGAACGTTGGAAGTTCCTCGTTCGTACTCAATCAGTAGATCAATGATTCGAATGCGTATCCCTATCCAGTCAATAAAGAAAGATTAGGTTCGCGCTTTAGCCTTTATTTGATTCGAAATAAAAACGAAGAAATCTCGTTGTCGCGGGCAGGCCTCTGTACCATCTGTCTACTCGAGACACGAGTAGAGAGGAAGATAGTAATAAA